TGGTGCTGGCTAGTGCGGTGCATTCTTCATTTCTCATACGCAAGTTATGAGCTTGCGAGATGGAGCTAAGAGTACTAAGTATTGACCCTAGTGTACTAAAGTCGTGTCGCCTGAAGTAACTTGTTGACAGTCTTTTCAGTTTCCTACGATCCTTTGGCTTTATGAATGTCTTTCTATGTGGGGAAAACTTTAGTGTTTGAAATGGGATGACAGCATCTAAGCATGTGTTGGAGTTATAGTAAAAGATGTCTAGAGCTTTCGAGAGGCTATCAGTATAGAAGTACTCACTCCATTCTGAGGATTTTAGCATTGATTTTACTAGAGTCCAGTCTGCCTTACTGTAGTTCCTGTAAGTTATTTGTTGTGAAGTAGGGGTATGGGTTGCATTGCTACTTGACGGAAGTGGCAGTGCACACAGCACTGTTTTGTGGTCACACCCTGGAAACTCAGAACCTATTAGGGTAGAAAGGGGACTTATATTGTGGCAGAAGATTAAGTCTAGTATGTTATTACCTCTTGTAGGGGTTGTGACAGTCTGTTTCCAGCCAAGTATATCCAGTGTGCCTAAGAACTTATCAAATTTAGCTGGGCCTGTGGGTATATCCCAGTTGATTTCTGGTAAGTTAAAGTCTCCACATATGATCCTATGATCATAGTGTAGGGTGGATAATTGTTCTAGAGTATTGATAAGTTGGGTCTCGTAATTACTAAAGGTGCCAGGTGCTCTGTAGGTGCATCCAATTAATACTATTGCGTTATTTAAGTGTAAGTCAACCCATAAAGTCTCAGGCATGTTAAGTGTACTACTTTCTAGCTGTGATACAGTAAGTGCATCAGAAAGTACATGAGACAACCCCCCCTTACCATCTTCCCTGTCACACCGAAAGTGTGTGTAGTTATCTAAGCTTATCTCTTCATCCAGTATGTTCGAATTACACCAGGATTCAGTGATGACACTTATAGGGGGTTCGTATATTACTGTGAGTGCTCTGAGCATCGGTAGTTTATTTAGAACAGATCTAGCATTTATGAGGATCAGGTAAAGATGAGATTTGAAGTAGCATTTGAAGTATTTAAGTTCGTTAATCAGCGCCGAATGTGGTTCAGCACCCAGTAGTACTGTTTGACATGACGACCCTATGTTAAGAGGAGTTTCAGCATCATGTTCACCTATGTCTATCGAGTTGGTGTGTGCTGTTTTCGGTGAAGAATTGAGCGTTGGAGTACTGGATGTGCTATAGGCTAAGGCATTTTTATTTTTAGTTAAGCTAGAAACGGGGGTAGGGATCTTTATTTGACCTAAACTTGTGCATGTACCAAGTGTGCTTAGTGGATGCGGGTGAACTAGACTGTTCCTATATTCATGCAAGGGGGAGCCAGCACTAGCGGTATAGGAGGGTTAACATCCCTATCAGCTGTTTTTTCAACGCTGACAGGGACGCAGGGGATAAAAAATGATGCGGACCTAGTGAAGACCAAAGTTTATTATTCCACCTATTGTTAGGTACTAGTTGTGTCCTTGTATGGGTTTCATGTGTACTGCTTTGTGGGTTAGTTCCAAGCAGACTTGTACCATATATCTGATCAAAATTTATTTGTGTGCCATACTGTGAATGCCCTGAGTTGTTGGTGGTCGAGTTCAGACTATTGCCACTTGTACTATTGAGGGTGGCATTGCTGTGGCGTTGGTTATCAGTGTGTGCCATGGTGCTATTCCGCACGTTGTGGGTGCTAATACTACTGATCGTGCGGAGTGTGGGCTTATTTATACTGCCGTTGCTTTTGTTGGCATGATTTGGGGTCATATTCTCCTTTTTTACCAATGGATTTATGGATAGGAGAGGAAAATGTCGACTTTCGGTGGATTTTGATATTTTTTCCGGGATTATTTGGTGACATGTCTATATCTACGGTGATAGGTGGTATAGTTTTATTGGCTATTCGATTACAATTTAGTGGCCTTTCGGTTGGTGTTGCTCTCTGAGAGGATAATTCTGTGTGGTTTGGGAGGGGTGGTGCGGTGGGTTCTATGGTATCTCTCTAAGGGTTGGGTATAATTGCTGCTTGCAATGTCCTATTGTTTATTCCACAATTAGACTCAGTGAGAGAATTATATACGCGCCTTTCTGTGACTGTCTTGTCCACCGCAACCTTTATTGGTTTGTAATTTCTGCCTTGCTATTGGGTGTGTTGGGAGTGGATGAATTTTCTGGCCTCTGCCGGTGTTTCGAACTGAAAACGAATAGGACAACACTTTTCATGTTGACTCTTCTTCAGCCTGTAGCACTTAGTCTTGGAGTTAGGCATTTTCGCCTCACTAAGTAAGATGCGCTGTATCTTTTTCAGTGCCCCATTGTCCGGAACGTTGTAGACAATAGTATTTAGTTTAGCGTCGAATCGTTTTGTTACTTCTGTAGTAGCAAAGTTAATGAGTTTATCCACCTTAGATACCGATTCCGTGTCAAGTTTGTTAAGGTTTACAGTTTTCATGAGGATAGTTAAAGGTGCCAGTTCACAGACCTGCGATCTGATATCACTGACCTGATCTGATAATTTGGATATTTTGGTATTGGTTTCAGAAATTCCATGATTTAATGACTTATTGTGTTTTATTTCCCTTAACTCGGCCTTAAGTTCTCCTACAGACAACTTTAGAAGTTCTATTTCTGAAGATAGTACTGAAACAGAGCTTGAAGGCTGGAGTTTTTCGGTAAGCACATAAGGTGTAGGGAGGGTTTCTGTATGAGCAGAGGGTACTGAATTTTTAGGAGTAGTGCTAATACTAGCTGTCAGTACAGTCTTATCCTCAGTTTCAGCTCGACGCTTACGACATACAAGTGAGTTATGTGGCTCACTATAACTGTATGTAGGGAGTATGTTGCTTGATGTAGCAATCAACGACTTAAAATTAGTCATCAGATTTACAGGGGATTGAGTTCGTTGCTTTTTACTTTGGTTAACCATAACTATTTGATATAAGAGTTAATGGTTATAGGTATGGAGGAAGTAGAGCACTTGTGCAAGGATTACAACAAGACAATTTTATGTAACGAATCATGCAAATATAATGCAAACGTTGGACGTACCGCGTATATATTTATTTCTATATTCCGTCTGTAATATCGTTAACACGATACATTCTTGAATAGTATTGTATTCCATCTTTATTAATTGGAGAGGTGTTAATGGTAACTTAGCCGCCAGAATCAGAAGGCCCCACTAAAGAGTAAGTTACTTGTATAACCAGAGCTCAGGTGTGACGAGAAAGTCGGCCAAACAACAAGCGAGGAAGTTGTTTATCACTGGGGCCACCCGGCAAAGTAGCTAGAAGTCACTCAAACGGTGTAAGTAACTGGCCTCCTAGTGCCAAGTTAAAGAATACAAGAAACGATAAACGAATATCAAACATGTCATGTGTAGAAGACAACATCTAGGGAAGGGTGAGAATATCAGTTATAAATATCAGCAGTGTCAACTAGACTAACTGGGTTGAGTTATTAAGCACGTGCTCTGTTGCGAATAGTAGTACTCCACTTTCCAGGAGACATATGAGAGAGCATTAATCTCATGAATATGTTCTCCTCCCTGTGAACTTGTCCTTGGCCTACCAACCTGGATTTTGTAATTTTGTGCAGAATAGAACGAGGCCTACTTCAGTGAAATTCACTCCTCTCAAACCTACTTCCTCAGTCTTGCTACCTTCCACTTTCACTTGGCCACATGTGAGTGGTCAACTACAACTAAATATTCGACGTTAGAAAAAAAAGAATCCCCTGCTGGAACGTTTGTGTTATTTACAATACAAAATCTCTAATGCCCGTAGTGTCTGAATAGCATTTAGTTGGATAGTGTCTGAATCTGCTCCTAACACCTTACTTCAACCACATACTGCCTTTGCTACAAGTACCATTTTTAACATCAAACGAGCTTTTACCTCTTCACATAACTGGTGTCTGTATATAAATATGTCATCTCGTTTCGGCTGTTTTGAACTACTGTCTGGTGTGGCTATCCCAGGATATGTAACAGATGTCTGAGGCGGATCTAGCTGTAGACATGATAGGAATACATGATGACACACTGAAACAAAATGATGTCAGGTGATTGGATAATATACTGCAGTTACTGATAACCAAATACTGTTAATATGCTCAGCCACAAATAAACCTCAGTTTACTTGACCTGAATTTCAACAATGTATTCCGCAAACAATGTGGCGAACAGGATGATGATGCTTGTCTGCTGGGAGCTGTCTGGTCCGGCAGCTAGTGCTTGCTGAAATGAGTGCAAGTTTTAACAATTCGGCGGCCAGTTATTATATATACAAATCAGCGGATACGAGGGTTGAGGACATGATGTTTTAGCAGACATGTGCATTGTTAAGTTGACCTACAAAGAAACTGTGCTGATGAGGAAAGGTAAACAGTAGATAAATAATGTGTGGTTCAAACAATAAAGAAACGAAATATTTTGATATGATGGAGTGTTATTTTCGACCCTAAAAATAATGCTAATCCAGGTTTATTTTTTTACTGATAACAGCCAAGTAAGCCCATTTAGACCATTAAGTTGAAGAAAACCCTAACAGATCACTTACTCAGACGTGTTCACTATGGGCCGTCAGAACTTCGAGAAATCTTTCTCACTGTTAGAAAATTAGAGTGAATTATACCAGGTAAACACTTATGTTGAATGTTAGGTCACTGCATTCTCTCTTTCACTTCTTTTCTCACACCTTCTGCGGGCTGTTTTACTTGAGCTAGCACAAATTCTGTTATGGGGAATGACCTAATGTAAACTAGCATTCCTTATCTTCCCTAGCATTCCAGTTTGAATTAGAATTTCCTTTGCCGGTGTCAGACGGTACTCAATAGAGCTTCTGAGTAACACATGACACAAACAGTTCTTGTACAAGAACTATCGCATATATGCGTTTGCGTTTTGATAAAATAGTCTCCTGAATTAATTGAATATATGGCGAAATTATATCATTACCGCTAAAACGAATTAATCTGAAAACTTAAATCTAAAATTATTAAGGCTTTCCGACTGATTGAATGATCATTATTCTCACAAAAATGCCACTTAACGCTATTGTTACAGTGGAACCTTTAGTTTTAGCTAGTGAGGGGCGGTCACTATTATTTTTTGTTTAACTACGTCTTAATCTCGATATTTAAAACCGCGCACATTACATTCCGGAAACTGATCGTTAGATTGCGCGTACCTGTAACATGGCTGGTGAAATTGAAGCTCTGAAAAATGTCGCTACACGCCTTCGAATAAACTCAGTGAAGTCTACTGAGGCAGCGGGATCAGGGTAATACACGTAACCAGGATCATTTTCTTGTAGTCACCCAACATCATGTGCCTCCTTGGCGGAAATAATGTCTGTGCTTTTCCTGAAGGAAATGCATTTCAAGCCCGACTCACCGAAAAATCCTTCAAACGACAGGTTCGTTTTGTCGAAGGTAGATATCCATTTTGCATATATGACAGTTATGTAGGGTCATGCAGCTCCAATTCTCTATGCAGCATGGTCAGAAGTTGGTTTGTTTCCTGAGTCGGAACTGTTGAATTTACGTAAGATCGATTGCGACTTGGAGGGGCACCCTACACCTGTAAGAATGTTTTATTTTCATAATACTCTCACAGCGCTTGCCTTTCGTCGATGTGTCAACAGGATCCTTAGGGCAAGGTATTAGTAATGCTGCTGGTATGGCATACGTCGGGAAATATATTGACAAGGCTAGCTACCGGGTGTACTGTGTTGTGGGAGATGGAGAGTCCGCCGAAGGTAGTGTCTGGGAGGCACTCGCATTTTCTTCATACTACAAACTGGACAACTTAGTTATAATTTTCGACGTTAATCGTCTTGGGCAAAGTCAACCAACACAATTACAGCATGATCTTGACACTTATAAAAGACGAACCGAAGCATTTGGGTAAGAATTTTGAATGTGCATTTTTTCTGTTGATTCAAGATTTGAAATGATGCAACAACACAACATTTAGAAAGACGCTTAATTCCGGTAATTAGAACTTCATTCGAGATTTTGTGCGGAAAATTTATTAAATGGGTATACAACCTTTCTCCCATATGTTGCAGATATTTCCATTATTGACTAGCAATAAACGATGACAACCTGTATTTCCGAATAAAAAAGCAACTTTAAATTGTATGCCGCACATATATTCGCCTGTATAAATTTTGAAGTAGCAGAACAGACGGAATATATCTATTGGGTCTACTGCTTGTACACCTATCAGTGCAATCTTAAAATTTATAAAATCTCAGCTTAAATATGGTAACTAGAACAAAATCTATACCATGTGACTGCGTCATCAAGTGAATATGAGATAAAGTTAAAAATATGCAATTTGTCCGAAATGAATACCTGCAACGCACATCGTTCACACAGCTGATTTCCCACATTTATGGTAATGCTGATAGTTTTTTTGGGCCAAATCAGGATTCTTCCTTTCCCTTCATGCTAAGTCCAGATGTTCTTAATCGCTTTCAAATTATTTCCTAATCTTTCGAGCTGTAATGAAGTTTAAGATCTATGGGAAGCTCCTCTGTGTTGATTTCTGATTTTGATTTCTCGAGTTCATTATACATATATAACGCCGCAGTCTGAATATTCTATCTTACTGAGTAAATTAGTCAGTAGGGCCCATAAAGCTGTATCTTTTACTTCGACAAACTCTTGTAATGTCTTATTTTCTGAAAATATCCTGACATGGCATTTGTCAATTTTTCTCCAGCTTTCAATTGGTGTTTGTATGGGACGACAGCTAATTCAGCCGGCGTTTTTGGAGTAATTTTATGACATACTCGACGTTACTTTCTGCTTTGTGAAAGAAATCCGGATATCTACTTAGGAAATTTGGTTATGTTTTGATTGCATTGTCTTCATCCCATTAACTTGTTAAAAGATTTGTGATAACTTGTTTTTTCTGAGTGACAAAGCGTGAGGATTTCATACATTACCTTCATGAAGATAGTCATATTAATGTATCATGTTAAACTAGGAAATATAATATATGCAACTTTCTGATTCTGGAGTCAAGTTAATTCTGAAAGTTTCAGCGATTGGTTTCATCTAAAGTGAGTGGCGTGTTCAACATTTAAGTAGTATGGAGACATCACCAAATTACCCTATCCATATTCCTCGTGTACGTATGTGGTGTTTTCTTGAGAACGAAAAGATGAAGTATTTATAATCTTGTAGTTCCTGAAATTTTTTACTACATAGTCATTGCTGGAGACAAAATCTGATAGTGTTAATCTTTCAATCATTATAGGTGTCACTCGATCGTTGTGGATGGTCATGATATTCAAGAATTATTGAAGGCTTTCTCAGTAGCTCGAACAGTCAAAGACAAACCAGTCGCTTTGATTTGTAAGACATTCAAAGGTCAAGGATTTCCTGGAATTGCAGATCAAGATAATTGGCATGGAAAGCCTCTTGGAGCTAAAGCCAAAGAAGTTTTGGAACATTTAAATGCTCAGTTAACGGCCAAAGATACTAGTGGTCATCATCTTGCTCCCTTGAAACCACTAGATGACTGTAGTGAATTGAAACTAATGGGCAGTATCAAGTTGCCTTCTGCACCACAATATAAACTTGGAGACCAGGTAAAGTACTAATATTATTACTCACACTTTCTTAATTACTGTGATTTACTAATCATGATTGTTTTGTAGCAAAATGACACTTTCCAATGTCTCATTACAATAAAATACTTTTCGCAAATTTTTGTTTACATACTTCCTACTATGTTCCTTTGTTTAATTTCAAAATCAGGTGGCCACTCGACTTGCCTATGGTAATGCTCTTGCTCGTATTGGACAAACCTGTGACAGGGTTATAGCTCTTGATGGAGATACTAAAAACTCGACTTTCAGCATTAAACTTCGCGATGCTAAACCAAACCAGTTTATTGAGTGCTTTATCGCTGAACAGAATTTAGTTGGTGTCGCTATTGGTTGTGGTGCTCGGGGAAGAACAATACCATTTGTAAGTACATTTGCAGCTTTCTTCACTCGTGCATTCGATCAAATACGTATGGGTGCTGTTTCTCAAACTAACTGTAATTTTGCGGGATCACATGTTGGAGTCAGTATCGGTAAGTTAATTGTGTATGATAGTGGACCAGGGAAATTTTAAGTCTCATTAATGTTTTATTAGTTAATTATTGCTTTTTTGTAGTAACTATACATCTGCTGTATAATTACTGTTGTATTGTCATGGATAACAAATCTAAATAACATAGGACCTACTAGAATCACATTCCACATGGAACGTTTGATAAAGCTGCGCTTATAAATATGGAAGTCAACTCTCGGAGAGAACAGTTCAGTTGTCGTAAGAAAACTTGAATATCATTGTAACGGTATTTTCGTATAGACAAAAAATAGGAATAGAATACTTCGGTATTCTTACTCTGTTATCTGCATTGGGTAAAAGTCGCTATCCACCCAACTTGATGAGGAGAATTAGCCAAGTCATTCCACCGCCACAAAATCATACAAAAAATTAGAAAATAAATTAACATAACTTATGTTAACAGTCACTGTAGAAAGACATGGTGAATCACAAACTGGGAAACTGATATCATTTAGAGAATAACCCATTCACTTCAACCAAAATGGTGTAGATTAAGAGATGTAAACCTGTTATTGTGTAAAAGGCAATTTAGATAAACATGAATCCTGCATCATATATAATCAATCTTATCTTTTCCATTACTATCATGTCATGCATCATCCCTTGCTCACTTATTCCAAAGGGTTTTTATTTGGTTCAAATGTGTATCAGCGACTGCTCCACTAATACCGATAGACTTTCCGTTAACGCTAAAACAGTTTACACCAAATCGATTTTGAATTTTTATGTTTACCGAATAGGTGAAGATGGACCAAGCCAGATGGGTTTAGAAGATCTGGCTATGTTCCGTTCTATCATTGGTTCCACTGTATTCTATCCTTCGGATGCCGTATCAGCGGAACGCGCTGTTGAGTTAGCGGCCAATACTCCAGGAGTTTGTTACATACGCACTGGACGACCAAATCAACCTGTGATTTATTCTCCCGAAGAATCCTTCTCCGTCGGCAAAGGAAAAGTGAGTACTTAATGAGGTTGATCTAGTTTTTGAAATTCTGGGTATTTTCGGTCTTGATTTCTTTAACAGTTTTTAACCACTAGAGTTAGTTTAGTTATTAGATTTCTATTGTGTGACTTTATTTGCTGCCAATATTCTTATTACGTTGTGTGAGAATTGAATGCGAAAGTCAGTTTGTAGAAAGCAAACACTTCGGATTTAATAATTTCTATATCCATATATTTACTATAAAACAAGTCAATTTTAGGTGAAACAGTAGTGTAACTCAGTAATTATATATATATATATATATATATATATATATATATATATATATATAGCTAAAATAAAATTCTAAACACTGTTGTATCTACTTCAATTTAATAGGTCGTCCGTACAGCAGGAGCTACTGCGGATCACTTAACTGTAGTCGGTGGTGGTATTACCATAACCGAAGCTCTAAAGGCAGCTGATATTCTTGCAGCTGAAAAAATTAATATTCGTGTCATTGATCCTTTCACTATTAAACCGATGGATAAAGATTTGCTAGCAAAGGCTGTAAAAGAAACGTGCAATAAAGTACTAACAGTAGAAGATCATGCTCCTGAAGGTAAGTTTTGTGTTTAATTTTTGTTTTATGTGTAAGTTGGTGTAATGGATTTTCAAGAAATAGAATTTAAGAACTTTCTCATAGGTAATATACTTTATGCACAACTGTGCATCTTCTAATGTAAATATTGTTAGTGTGAAGAATCAGGATGAATAGTGATCGTTCTTGTTCAAGCCCAAATATTTGATAGTAAGCTTTGCATGTTTAGGCTTGGTGTCTTCCTCGGTTAGTAATTAGTGGAGATATGATATTAAAATTATCTTCCTTTTGCAGTATAATATACATATTTCCTTCGTTTTCTGAATTCAAGGCAGCTAGGACTCCAGGAGCACGCAACACTTACCTCACAGAGTGATTCGTAATATGAAAATGTTTTGAAGAACATAATATTGTTTATAATCGTTCTCTAGTTAAGAAATTGTGTTAATCAGGACATTTGTTAATGTTTTAGTGGGGTTACTGCGCACCATTTGCATATCTCAGTTAAAACAATCAGGTTCCACTCCTTTATTAGACGTGAAACTGTGTAGTCTTCAATATCAGTTTAGAAGTTTATCAAATGCCTTTTTGGCTGTGTTGATGAAATCTCAGCATGGATACAGAAGCCTCGTGTTGTATTTGCCATCTTACGTCACTTATGTCAAAGAAGTGATATCTGTGTATTGTGTCCTCTGTACTGGATGGTTTAGTTAACAAGATTCCATATTTCTTCAGGATAACACTAAAGACTCAATTGTGCTCTACAATTTAGTAGAGCGTACGAGAACTGACTTATTTCGCGGCGAGCATTCTACCTACCGCTGTGCCATTGACGCACAACCAGATATCTGCTCACAATAAAAAACACACATACAACGCAGAATAGACAGTATTCAGAGACCTTTACATTCTTCAACTCAAAAAAAAGAATTCGTGCACCACGATTTGGGGATTACTATTATTAGTATTATTATTATTTGTATTATTAGGCATCATATACGTGTATATTATTATTTCGTGATCTTTTGAAAATAATTAATTGGAGAGTTTGTTTGTAAAGATTTGATTTGTGTCAAGTTTGATCACGGATTGATACTAGTTAGAGAACCGTTGAAAGGGGCAGCACAGAATACTGGACAGATGTTTCGTCTTAGTTTGGGACTCATTGGCAGCACACAGCTACCTGGTCTCGAACCCTATAAACAAGCTCTTGAAAATTAATCTGCTGCTCGCTACTGACTGCCTGCACGATGAAGTAGCCTGCAGTTCTTCTGAGAAGTGACCAGTAGAGTCGATGTGGTCAGGAATGAAGACATACTCACCTATGACAGCGTACTACCGAGGAGTCCTAAATTAGGACGAGATATGTCTAGTACCCAGTTCTGTTTTTTAATGGTTCTCTAACTGATATCAATGTGTGATCAAACTTGAGACGATTATTTCCGAAGAAAAGTTAAGCGTTAGAACTCGTGATACCGTCTACCTATCTCTGGCTCTTCCTCTGAAGATTATCTTATTTGTTAGTGCATGGAATTCAAGTCAGCTCAACGACGTTAGACTCAAACAATAATTCATAAATTATGGTTCACTAGAAAACGCGTGCGTCATCTAGGCACCAGAAAAGCTTCATTTTTTCTATGATCCGAGTAGCTGTCGTTCAAACTGGACGTATTTAGGGGTATAGTATATCATCACTCGAGATTAACTGGGTGCTTACTTTCATGTTTAGCTTTTTTCCCTAGTGTATTATAATACTTGTTGTTACACAGTTTCTTTGTTTATCGAAGTCCTTTTAGAGATTTTACATGTCATTTACTCTTTCTCTGTATTTCATTATTTCACAGGAGGTATCGGAGATGCGGTTAGTGCAGCACTTTCACAATGTGGTGTAATGCATACTGTACATCGACTAGGTATAACAGAAATACCACATTCCGGTAAACCAGAAGAATTGATAGCGAAATATGGCATCGATGCAAAGGCTATTGTTCGTGCTGTCAAGACATTGCTTGGCAAATAAAATATTTGTCTCGTTTTGTGTTCTAGAGTGCAATGAGGGGGAGAGGGGAGTGGTGGAGAAGCATGGCGCAATTTGACTAAATCATTAATATTGTCATGATTCCAAATTATAAATAATTTTGTTTTACTTTTTTAGTTATGTTTGTGTGTGTCTGTGCAGTTAATGCACTTTTATTTCTGGAGACACTCAAAGTGTCTTTAGCTTAATATAATATAGCTCTTTTTTATTTAATAAATACTTGTCTTGTTATTTGTCTCAAGTTGTTTTACGAAGAATTAAAAGAATAGTTTACGCATGGTACCTGTGTTTTTCCCAAAGAATTATCCAATTCCAATAGGCTGTATTACTTTTGGTTCAGCATAAAGTAATTGTTGTAACGGAGTGTTAGTGATTTGTTGATTGTTGTCTGTCTTGACTACGATGCACCAATCGATTCTGTTAGTAAGTTAATCACTAAGGTGTTACAAAGCGGACTATATTTTGATATATAAATCGACTAATTGTGTGTTTGTATAGAGATATACACATTTCTACTGCGTATTTCTCACATCTCAGTCGATTTTTTTTCTAGAACAAAGTCAGTTTTAAATCTATTTCAATGTGAACATATGCATCGTTTGTTGGACCTATTATAATAAATGTGAAACTGATAACAGCGTCGTCTAGCTGTACTAGCATAAATGTTATATTTACGTTATACTCTAACCAGTATGTTATCTTTTATTACAGTAGCACAGTTCGTGTTGACAGTTATATGATTTATAAAACGATTATTCAATACCACTTAGTATATATTGTCAATGAAATGAAGTTGTTACTCAACAGCCAGTTTCAATTCCATCGAGTTGGTATTGAGGCACACTTATCGTGTGAGGACTAGTCAGGTTAATTGGTTGCCAAAACCTGTGAAGATAGAGCAGACTTTGAACACATAGTTCACTGGTTGAATGTCGAGAGCCTAGATCAATGAGCCACTGCTTTACTATGTGACAAATACTACATTACTAAAGCGTGAGTCGACATAGGTTAGGTTGTCAGTCAGTCCTTGAATAACACGTCCCAAACTTGGCAAAAGTTAGATATATTCACTTAGAACGGCAAAGGTAGAAATTCAGATGAATGTAGCGTGATAGTTGCACGTTTGATATGAGAAGGTCATTGTTTTTGTAGTTTCAAGATAACTGTAAGATGTGCTTAGACGGCCATTCTACTGACGCCTAAATAGAATTAAAGCTGAGGTAAATAGAGTTGATTTAGCTGACTAAATATTATCCATGTAAGCTGTTAATTCATGTAGGAGTGCATGTAATATTTTAAGTTGTATTTTTTAATATTTAGCTTAGTGTAATTTGCTTGTTAATAGTGTCGTACGATTTGTTTGGTCATAGTGATCACGTATCAAGAGGAAGTACACAACGTGACAGATAATGTATATTCACAAGTAGGTCAACTAGTACATAATAATGGTATAAATTTAGCGTGATTTGAAAAAAATTAATAAAATCAATGAAGAATCTCAATATTGATCGATTATCATTAGGCAGGCGTAATTTGAGAAAGACAAAATCAGTTGATAGACTATAGGTTCCTATACCAAGTATTCCTGACAAGTATTAATCTGAACACGCCTGAAAAACAGTCTCAGTGTTGCTATCTCAATCGTTACCAGACAGATAAGCTCATAAACTCTTTCCCTAAGAACCAACAATAACTTTCATCCTGTCTGAATATGCTGGGAGCACATTCCTGAATAATTCATTCACTCAATATTTCCTGGTTAGTAAAACCACCGACAAAGAGATCACCAGTGTTCAGCTTTTTCAGTAGGCATGGTCAGCTGTTATGAGATTAAACAAGACATCGGCTTTTTCATCGACACTACAAACCTTGGCAACAGAAAATCTAAATGGTCGTCATTAGGCATATCCGAAAGAAAAATCAATTTGTCTACGTTTGGTAAAATCACGCCTTGAATAAAGCAGAACAAAGGAAGACAAAAGAATATGGTGTACAGAGGAGAATGCAGACATTTTCAGTAGCACAGAATATTTAACCTAACATAGATTGTTTACGAGGTCAAATCAAACGCATTTATTCAAACGGACAATAATTCTCAGTGAAAATCTACCGACAGATCAATTCATGAATAATTAAGAAATAGTAGATTCACTGAGATAACTAGTCGAATGATAATACGTGAAAACAATTTCGCTGCAGTAACCAACCTTGAATGACTGAAGAATTTCTGTACCGAGAGTGAGAGAGAGAAAGATGAAAGAAAGAGAGGCGCTATTGCAGTAACAATCTAATCTATTTCATTGTAACCTCACTATATTTTCTTCCACTTTAGGAGAAATCAATTCTACACTCATGAAAGGAACACATTGATATTGAAAATTTCATCTGAATTGTTCCAACTCTAAACCAACTATCTACTGAAATCAATATAATCACACTAATCTACGTAATCGAAAAATCAAAGATTATCATGAATATTTGCATAGTATAAAAAGCATAAGAAAGTGTAGAATACAAATAAAGTATAATTAAATGTCAATGGTTTACACACCACAATGATAAGTTTTGCTCGAAATATTACCAATAACAAAGCTTATCATTGTGTGTGTAAACCATTGAAATATAATTATACTTTATTTGATCTATTCCACAATGCTCAAACTATTTACTGACATGCAGAATACAAGTTGTAGCTCAATGTTCACTTGACTGATTTATTATTACTATTAATGTGAGCAAATACGGCGCCTTCTTACCTCATTAACATTATACGACTAGCAATGCACATTAACTACTTAATAGACTAAACGTCCACTTGATATCCGATAGGGAAATATTTGAATGTATCATGAAAGCTAGTCAAAACAATATCATCATACAAAACATAATGATGAATCACACAGATACACGCACAGACACGCAAGACATCAACATATATAAGAATAGTGGAGTGTGGGAATATTCCAGAATCCCGATTTACAAAAACCACCTATTTCAAGTCTTCGGACATATACAGACACATTTCAAGAGTGGGTAGATATATGTAGGTTGATGGCAATCGTATCACAGCTGATTTGAAGACTGATTTGCACGATATAATCACCTCACAAGTGGGACGTGATTTCTATTAACATTTAAGATTTTCTTACATTTCACAATCCAGATTTCGTGATTTTTTATGAATAAATTGTTAATGTTCTTCGACTCACACTATTTGTCCTACTCACTCTTACATTGTGGTGACTTCTGCTGACCTCTATCTTTTTTCTTCGACATCAATGAACTCAAGTTGCTAATATATATCATCAATGAAACACGCATGAACCAGTGTTTATTCTCTAACTCCACAGTTCAGTCATTTTAGTCACTATCGGACTGAGTATTCTTCCAAGACTCACTCTAATTTTTCAGCCTAGTAAATCAAATAAGTAAACAACACTGGAAAAGTACCACTCAGCTGTATTATGTCAGCGAAGAGAAATGTTGTTTATTAACAGAAGGATGGCAACGTAAACGGATCTCCTATAGGTCAATTCCTAGCAAACGCCTTTTTAGCCATTTTCAAGGATGGTGTATTGAAGTCAACTACCCATAATCTTCAACTGTTTACAAAGTAGATGCTTGATGTTTCTGAGATTTGTGACAGAGAAAATGATCATGATCAGTTGTGTCAGGTATTTAATAACTTCCAGTCAGCTATAAAATCCAATTTGCAAATGGGAAAACAGATCCAAAATTCCTTTACTTGGTGACGAACTAACAAGTTCTTACATCTATATACGGACTGATCGAAAACGCGATTGAATTATATTCCTTGTCATACGCATCCGGCTTGCATCGGTTATGGTGTATGGGGAGAATTCGACTATCTGAGAGAAATCGTCATCCCAAATGGATATTCACCGAGATTTGCTAACAAGAACATCAAATCAAAATTTCAGAAACATAAGGCATCATTTATCATTAAACAGGGACTTTACATCCACCTTGATTTCGAGGGTGACCTAATCTGCAGGGTTCCTAAGAAAGCAATTTCAACATCTTTGTGAAGAATATTCTCAAAAATGCACAGTGAGTCATTTAAAAGAAGAGTCCCAAACTAGGATGAAACAGCTGCCCAGTACTCCCTCATATTTTCAATGACTTTCTAGCTGATGTCAATCCGTGGTCTAAAGTGAAACAAATAGAATGCTTACAAAAACTAGTTCTTGAGGAGAAAAGCGTTTAGCGAAGAGTTACTTGTTTCAACTATATCATTCTCAAACTGTACAATCTCATATAAATATTAAATGTTCTAAGCAGTAAAATGAAATTTTTCCAATATGTGTCATCAGAATTACAAGTTCTAGATAACAGTTAAGTAATACAGAAAATGTTAATCAGGTAGAAACCAAAATAATGCAGCTGGTGACACTGAGCAGAGCGAAACAAAAATGAAAAGTGTCAAACTAAGATCAGTGTCATAAGGAACAAAAATGTAATCAACAAGAGGAGGGCAAGATGAAAATTATATAATTAAAAGGTTGAAAAATAGTATTAACATAAATTACATATCCATTGTAATGATAGATTAGGGCCAATTTAATCAAAGTGACTGAACAAACTTCCTCTGTATGCAGAGTTCAGGATTATCATCGCTTCTGAGGTTTGAAAAAATTTAATCCGTACTCCTTTGACAATACTTCTGTGCACTGTGTAGGTGACTCTTAAATTTGTTTTTGAGTTTACTCGATATGCAGAGTTGATCAGGTTCCAGGATGCAACAGCTTATAGGTATTTTTTCTCCCCTATATATCGTGAGGGTAAGTGTTCGATGATGCGTTTGGTAATCAAACGCTAAGTACGGTTGACAATTATAGTACCATTGGAGCACATTGATGAGACCGACAGTGGTAGTCTGTGGTTCGTGTTCATAAAAATCATCGCTTTTGTAGAGGACTTGAGTCGAAGTTTAGCTGAGAAGAATGCTTTCTTCAATAACCAGGACAGACAGTTTCTTAGTATTGCTCTCTATGAGTCTCCATTGAATTGCAGATTCAGATAAAGAATATATTCAGGGTGTCTAGTGTTTGCCGTTCCAGTTGTGTAGCCTTCGTGGATTTCGAGATGAGGCACTCTAAGTATCCATTTTCAACGAGAATCCCTTTTAGACAGTTCAGCTCCACTCCCATGGTGTCAAAATTGCTCAGTCCCGTCAACTATACAGTACATCACGCGATTCACTCATTTAA